AACAGTAATTTAGAAAATTCACAAAATAGATATACATTAATTACCAATGCTGAGACCGAATAATATTGCACAAAAGATTATATAAAGAAGGATTTAAAAAACTTTATGTATGTATTTATGTGGCAATCTTTTTCTCTTCTTTAACATTTTCCATTGCAAAAGAAGTTTCACTGTCTATAGACAAATTAAGAGACTGTTATGATTTGAAATATAAAATCTATTAAAAATAAAGGTGGACAGTATAAGGACAGATATAAATACATATAAAATTAAAGCATGAATTACAAAATGAAATAAAATTAAATATAATAACTAAAACGTTACGTGGCATTAAACATTTGATCATTTTATACTTCGTGCAACGTAACAACGAATTCTGTCTCGTTGTCAACTGAGGTAAGCATTGAACATTTCGCATATTGATCCAAATTAGTATGTGTGTAATGATTCAGTTACGATACCTCAGGAGTGAATGTGACATATTATTTACATTTCTAGAATCAATATTGAATTGTTTAGGATTATGAATGAATAAAAAATTAGACTATCAAAGAAAGTCGAAAAGGGATTCGTGACAGTGATTCGTCATTGATATGACACTAATATTTATACTTTCCTAGGACTGGTTATTATTAAGTTTCTCGATCTGTTTATATCAACCTATAACAATTGAGATTTAGCCTGAAGTTCTAAGAATGCTCCATTGTAGAACTAATATTGTATGTACAAAGTATCGTGCATCGTTCAGAAAATTTGGAAAGAAATTGGTTGTATCTAATAAAACTAGTATAAGCACAAAAATTGGCTGTATGTTTCATATTTACAAATAAAATTGTATAAGGAATTGTATGATGATAAGAGAGCAAGTCGAATCCTTCTTTTGCTCCTATGCTGTTTCAGATGCCATCTTCTGAACGATAAACAATGCTTACATAATTTTAGAAAAAATAATCATACGATATCATTGTATTTTGTATTTATAAACTACGTTAGTTTTTATATTTTAATTGAAATTTGTAAAGAATGTAATATACTGTACATAGTCTGTAACTATAATAATGTAAGTACACGATACATTATTCCGAAATAATTATTTCTAAAAGCAAACAATTTCATTCTCGCAAAACGTTGTCCTATCCCCTCATTCCTATTCCTGGTTCCCAACTTTTCAAAATTTCTGCGCTCCATGCAAATCAATTTCAATTCTATTCGAACCACTATTTTGGTACTCGTACAGTCAGTAGTTAGTATTGTTGACCTATGTTCCCTCAAAAATAAAATTGGTAGAAAACAATCTCCTGTATTCGTTACAAAAAAATGGAGTGTTGAAAATGAAACTATTTAGTAGAATAAGAAACAAAAATATGACTATTTACAAACATAAAGATAGAAAAAATAAATAACGTAGAAAGATAATAAACCTTCTATTAATATTATTTTATTACAAGATGGGATAAATAATAAATAATAGTGGCTGAACGAGCAGAGTATGTACGCCTAAATGACGAACGATATTAGTTATTAATATATTATTAGTATATCTCAGGAACAGAAGTGCAATTATTTAAGAGACTATTTTACTTTTTGAAAGATAAATCAAAACAATAGCTTTCTCGTGTAGGACTTCGCTTTCGAAAAAATTGGATTTGAAACAGATGTCGAGGGAACTTTGCCAAAAGCTAAATCGAACAATTTTTACTTTCTATTCGACGAATTTCGAAACACAATTTTTTTGAAACAGAGAAGATTAATACTTTTTTAACTTATATTTGTAGAATAATCTTTTATTCGGCTGTAGCACCCGTCTTGAAACATTCTTTATAGCACTGTGCAACAATTTGAGATTATCTACCAAATAGAAATACGTATTGCTTCTATGAATAAATTTAAAAATATACTTGATTTTATTGTAATTCTTTCATTATTTCTCAAGTAATATTTGACTTAAAAACCAACAACTCTAATATTTCAAAAGAAATGTTTATTAATTTAAACAAAATAATTAATATTTTGTGTAATCTTCATTACGACAGGTACTTTTTCAGAGATACTTTTCATACATTAATTTCGATTTTCTTTTAAATATTCTAAAGAACTAACCTTCTTTCCCTTCTCTATCTGAGAACCCCATACGTCGTTCCATAAGAGCTATATCAAGTTTTATTACATGTATTTTTAATACATTAGATTTACCAACTAAGGTATATTATACACGAGCAACATCATGAAACAAATATCTGAAGATTCTGTTTTGCACAACAACATGTAAAAATGTTTTTCAATTATATTTTGTGTCATAAAGATGTCTACGTATGTTTCCTAAAAATTTGTTTGCCAATATAAAACTATCAATATAATACAATTGACAGTAAGCTGTATATATGTACGTATAATACATATAGAAACATAGATATAAATATAAATTATAATGCATTTAGTTAGACACATATTCCGGACGGCGAATGATGCACGGGTCTATAATGTATCGCATGTGATATTTTATACAAAACCAAATTGTATCGTGTCAGTAAATTCTCAGCAGTATGCCGATGCAGCAGAATATAGAGAATGAGCTACTTAGAGAACGTGGGGCGTCACGTGTATGCATTGGGAACGATGCGTTTTATGAAAACTGAAATTCATTATTCTTCATTACTCTGAAATTCAACTAGATTTTCATCAAATCTTTCTCTTTCGTGTATTATCAGCTTTAATTAATATCCCCTTTTCATCAATTTCCACGTTTATTTTTTCTTCCAAGCATTTTATTCGTTTTTTAATTAGAACGAGAATTTAAATAGAAATATGAAAAGAATTGGAACTAAAAACCGAGAGCAAAGAAAATCGTAGAATTTAATTAAAAATCTTTGCAGCTAAACAAGTAAAATAAGGATGAATTGAAAATTATTTTTCAATTTTATTCTTTTTACATGATTAAACACATTGAGCAAAAAATATATGAAAATATTCAAACGTGAATTGCTTAAGAAAGCTCGTTCGTCGATCAAATTGTGGAATTCGTTTAATAACTTTTACCTTTCTTCTATTAAATGAGTAATGTTTGATCTTCAAATGCGAATGATCGTGAATGCCTTCTACAATGTGATTTGTGTTTTTACGTGTTATACTGAGTGTTATATTATATAGTGCGAGAATTACGGTAGTATTTATGTAACACGATATGTATGATAGCGCGATAAGATGCGATCATAGAAGACCACTAGAATAAATATAGTGGAGAAAAGTAAACCAAGCAAATATCAGAGAAATTCGTCGTGACGAAGCACGCTTGATTTGTCCGCAGTAGTGAACAACCTATGAGTGGCTCATAAAACACCGAATGTATCCCCTATATTATACGGGGATCTATTGTACTCTTATCTTTGTTTGGTAACCATGGCAATAAACATCATTGCCACGCGCTAGATAATCTTCATTTGAGCAGAAAATATGTCTCGTTCTTGTACGTGTAATTGAACGAATCTGTAAAATGCCTAGTTGTACTTTATCAATTTATAACGGGAAATAACGGTTTTACTGAAATTATTGTTTCTTTTTAAGTTGAAGATTCTTTTATAAATAGTTAATTTACCTTAAAAATCTGTTTATGGAGACAAGAATAGTGAAGACATACTTTTATTTAAGCTCTACCTGCCAAGTGACAGTAGAGCGAGATTATACTTTTTTGCTTTATACACTTTTGCTACGGTACATTTCAATTTTTTAACTTGATAGCGAAATTTTTCAAACTCTTTCTACAGATATCTCTACGTTGTTATTATCAATCACTATCAGCAAAATGAACCAAATGAATTCTGCAATATAAAAATAAATATTACTAATCAAGTATCATAAATAATAAAAGTTAATATTATAGATAATAAAATAATTTATTAAAGTATTAGAGAAAAACATATTATCAAATACATACAAAAATATATATAACATATATATTAATTAATGTTAATATAACGAAACAGTTTTATCGCTGTACCTATGTGTACTTAGCAACAAGACTGTTGGTTTTCGTTATTAGTTTCGCCATGGACTTCGAAAAAACAGCAGTAAATTGTGCCTTTCTAATCAAAGAAAGGAAGAAAGGAGAAACAAAAACAACATTGAGTGCATCCGTTGTGCAGCGAACGGTTGTTGAAGATAAGGCTTTATGCACTATACAATGAGTGAAAAATTTATCCTTCCAAACTTGCCGTTTATTTTGGAATGAGCATAGATATTTTTTATGAATTGTTGTCATTAATAAGTCCATCACTTATGTATCAAAATATATTAAGGGGCACTTCATGAATTAGAAGTTGACGCTCTTCTTATTCTGAGACATATAAGTATAAATGACATTAGAAAGTCTGTTTTGTTGTTAGTGTGAAAACGTTTATTAATTTTATAGAACCGACGAGAACAGGGAAGCAAATGAGTCATTATCCAGTTGCTAAGCCTTGAAAACAACAAAGTCGTTCTGTAGTCGCATCGCTGTCAAATACGAACAAGTTCATATAAATAAATGACCTTTTCCTAAACGGTAAAACTGTCGTGCGACAAATTTTCGCTTGTACTCAACTGCTCTAAAACCGTAACATTAATGTTTTATTAAAAGATATGAATGTTCATTGCAATATTTAAATCGTGTGCAGATATACATATAAATATAAGCTTTTATTAAATAAACAATAAAGTTCTGCAATTAAAATACAAAACTAAAAAGTACTTATTGTTACTCTTCGCTGCTAGTATTTCCACGAAACTACAAATTTTTATTTTAATTAGTAAAAGTTATAGATTAATAAAAATGTAGAAGTATTCTCATGCATTTTCTAGCAACAATATTAGCTAGAAATTTAAACATAATTCACGTTTAAATATTATGTATTATGGTAAATAAGTAAATAAAACATGAAAATGTATATGTACAGAGTACTTACATGTTTTTTTGCGATAAAGTAGACTTAACTACATGCTTAGAAGATAACATTCTTGTGTTTCAGAGGGACCGAGTTTTACTGTGCCAATAACAAACGTGACGATCCCATTGGGCAGAGAAGCTGTACTCGCTTGCGTTGTTGCAAACCTTTCTGCCTTCAAGGTAAACTCTTCGCTAACGATGTATCTTAATCTCGCATGTATGTGCTTTGTTTTCTTCCCCTGATAAAATTACACTGTACAGCCCTGATAAATGACGAGAGCCATTCATACTCATACATAATATCTTCACTTGCATTGAAGTTCCAAATTTTTTAGACAAAATTACTACATATTAGAAATTCATCGAATATCTTTATTGCTGTCTTTTTACAAAGATACTGATTTGTAAAATTATGAAAGTATTTGAGCGGTGGTTTGTCTTTCTTGCTAATATACGATTCCTTTTATGAAACTTTGTCATGAATATTGTTTTCCTATAAAAATCTTTGTCATAATTGTGCGAGTATCATTTAGTTAAAGTTTCTAACAACCGTTAATGCTAATCCTGGTGCATATATGAAGGGATTTTTCATTAGAAGAATTGTTCTATCCTATTCTTGATATTAATTTTTTTCGATGCAACTTCTGAATCGTGATTTATTTGCAATACTTCTGTCGCTGCTATACTTTTCTATTTTGTAGTGAACTGTTCATATACCTCTGTTTGGAAGAGCGGGAATTTCTTTATGCAAGTTTCCTTTTTGAAATCTAATTTAATGTCCAGATTTACTTGTTTAGAATCTTTTCTCGTTCGCGATTCTTAGTTATGGATAAACGTTAAATTTTTATCTCCATTCAGTTCCCAGTAATTTAAAATATTCTGAAGGCCATCAATTATTAAATTTTTGGCTAAATACATGTTTATAAATTATGGACTTTAAAACATAGCGTTTAAATACATTTGTTACGTGTTATTTGTACCTAAAGGAAATGGTAAGAACTGCAAAATCTCGAACGAGTTGGTTGCTTGTACATTTGATGCGTTAGGTTGATAGTAAAACAGTCTCAAAAGAATTTGAGTCCATGATCCTTTGTTTTCGAGGAATTAATCGAGAAATTAGAGCAGCAATTTCTTATGTTTTAAATGTATTTACTACAATTTCCACCCGTAAAATTGTAGAAATATGTAGGAGTACTATGATAAATAAAAATAATCAAAACTTTATCAAAATAAATTCTAGGAATTTAATATTAAGAAAGCATAATATTAATACTCAAAGAATTTATAAAGTGAGATATAAAAAGAACTTACTAATTTCTCGAAAACAAAGGACCATGAAAATTTAACCCCTTTGGAATTATTTTATCATCAACCTAAAGCATTAAATGCATTTACAGCCAATTCATTCGAGATTTCGCAGTTCTTGTCATCTTCTTAGTTATAATAAATTTTACGTAATTTGTTTACATATTGTTGAATTTTTTTAACTTTAAGCAAATTTAGCGAATGCATGTGTGCTAGTATATATAGTACAATTTGGTAAAACAGATTGAAATCCATCGTATAATTTTTGTATGATGAATTACACCGTTTCAATACTTTCGCTACTCACTGTACTTTTATTTGCATTTGTAGGTAAAAATACCTTTATTTTAAATAACGTAATAATATTTGTAATAGCTTATACTATTAAATGTTATCCATTGCACTGCAAACTTACATTATAAACTTGCAAATTATTAGCGATAAAATTTATCTTATACCACGAAGACTATTAACTTTAAGACTACTAACATTCCATGTATACTATTGATTAGAACATGAGATTGACCAATTAACAAAGTTTGAACTTGTTAATGAAACTTCAATAGTTGTGTAATATGATAAAATTAACTGGCGCTCTATGTAACATATATTTTTGTAATTGAAACTATGTTAGTTTGTCATAAAAAATTGACTTGCATAATAACTTACGTTCTCAGTTGCAAGTAGTATTCAATATACATGTCTCTCAAATGAAGGACAACAATGAATTTGGCTGTTGTCTAAATCTTAAACTCCAAAAAGCTTCGCCTAACCGTTTGATTGTGGATCAGATTAATTGAAGAAAGTGCTTGACTAACGCTTTGCGGGAAAGAGATCTAATCTCGACTAACCAGATGCCTTTCGTCAACAAATGTTTAACATCCTGCGACGGAACAGTTGCGACATTAATATGGCAAAAATATGTATACTAAACATATAGGTACAATGAATTAATAAATCATAATGAATTAAAGTCACATTCAATTTACATCGCTACTCTCGGTCAGTAAAAATTCAAATTACGTTGATTATATTCATCTAAAAAAAATTGCATATGAATTTTAAACTTTCTTCATATGTTTGTATTGAGATATATGTAGATTGAAGTATTTATTTCAATTATGCAAATACGGAATTTACTTTAACAGAACTAGGGCACAATTATGTTTTTATTTAAATGAAATATCCAGTTTGTACTTGGTGCATTTTATTTTATATCAATTTATTTTAAAGTGTTTCAATACTAATTGGAACGAAATTAAGAAAAATTTATATTTAAATTTATTTAATGTCAAATGAATTCTTCCTATTATATAAATTCCAATAATTTATCAGAATCGAGCGTTTCAGCTTGTATTTAATAATTTAACGCATTTCTATATGATAAATTTAAAAAGTGCAACACTTGTGATTTTACAATACAACATTATATGACAGAAAATTTGAAGAGTTGTCGAGCGAAACATATATGAGTTTCATTGTTCAAAATGCAATCACATTCCGATTTTGAACCATTTTAAATGGATTTTGTAGCGTACCAAACACCTTTTATCAACATCCTGTAAATCTTAGTGAATTAAAGTTCGTTCATCAAAGACAATTTTTTACAATCTACTACGTTACATGTATCTTTTCACCACCGTTATGAAGTGGTGAAATAGAACGACAAAGAAAAAAAGATTTATATAAAATTTCAACGATTAAATCGCAAATCATATTAAAGATACTGAAAATATATTAGAAAATTTTGAAAACTGAGAGAAAGCAAATTTAACGGAGTATGATATGTTACAATATTTATTGTATTGTTGAATTTATCTTGATTTCTGTAATTTTATTTTTATTATTGTTTTGACCCAAATGACGTAACTAATATTTTAGGATAACTGTTTTTTACTCCTTATAAAGGTCTACTTAGCATCCGCATGAGGCGCATATAAAAGTGTAATCCTTTGATCATTTGTTTGTCGGTTATGTGGTAGGGTTTATCATCACTCAAAATGTTTTTATCTCTTTAATAACAAATCAAGCATTAGTAATGGATCAGCATAAAGTTAGACAATGTAAATAAAACCAACATCACATTTAGCAACAAAATATATTTGTCATGTGTGTGTTCATGTGTGTTCACAATTTTTGGAATATATAAAATATACTTCTTGGTAATTATGTTAAATTGTGTTTTTTTTTTCAAAATAAAATTCCGATATAATATTTTCAGAGGCATACATAAAACAAATTATATCATTATAATGTTATTTCTATATTCACTTATTGTTGTTGACTTAAATAATATAACTATGCCCATGATTGTCATGATTCACACATGTTTTATTTTATACTATCTGCGTAGAATATGTAGAAACAAAGTATGATTTTAAAAGTTAAATTTTCACGCGTAATCTGTATCAAAGTAAAAATACATATTCCTGTATACCATCTATTTTTATAGTACTATTATCCTCGTGACACCTATTCGTATTCAAACGAACATATGTGCATATTTTACATGGCGCGATGCACGACGTAACACATTCTCGGTAATGCTGTAGAAATGCTGTTATAAAAGTTTCCTCCTGGATACATTTTTGAATCCCTACAAATTCTATGAGTAACAAACTTGCATCCTTTAAGTGGGATAATCTCGTCCTTAACCTTCCACATAAAAAGGGATGTCGTATAAAGATTCTACTAATTAGAAAGGTTTAAACTTTATTAAAGATAATCATACAGATACAAGATCATCTGCATTAAGGAAACTACATTATTGTTTCTTTCTTTTGCATGTTCTCTACAAATATAACATTTTTTGAATCATTCAAAGAATTATGAAAAACAAAAACATGAAGATTTCGTTGTCAGTTTTATTCATATTTAGGGAGTACACGATTTTTCAAGTAGCGACTTAAATCTAATTTATAAATTGTAAAGCTAAAAAATGTAATTCCGACACACAAAATATTGTATGGCTATGTCGTACCGTCATGTATCGGTACTTTTGCCAAAACCACCCCACAACCGAAGTTCATTGTTTATTGTGAACAACATACAAATGTAATACTCATCTACTGGTCAATAAACGTTATTAAAAAAAAAGATTTTTCAAGCAATTACGATAATGTAATAAAAAGGTGTTTCTAACAAAAATTAATCAGTTTTGAATCGGTTACAAATTACAATATTTAAAATTGCCACACAAAATGAATTTTGTGTATTTTTCCCTGCATTTATTTCTCTTATTATTACAACTGCGTTATATTATCGAAAAAAGAAAGATTTTGTCGCTAAAACTGATGTGATAGTGAAATTAATATAAAAAGAAAAAAACAAAATAGGAACAATTCAAATAATTTTATTTAGGATAGAAGACTATAATATTTGAAACAATCATATTTTACAGATCCAATATCTTTGAAGAGATGCTCGCATGTCATTTAGGTCATCGAATTAATAACGATTCTTATGCTAGTAAGAAGCATTGGCTGATAATATTTTTCTAGTTGGTTTTAGTTTGAAGTTTTACGACTTTATATTATATAATAATAGGAATATATACAATTCATAAATCTGTGACCCGATTCGGTGACCCGAATTTCATGTGACCCTTTCGTAAGAATCGATTCTATTTAATAACTTTAAGCTCGTACATTGGCGTCTGTAGAACAAAAAGCCGCAGTTCTCGCATGAGCAGTCAACGAACATTGCGCGTGAAAAACTGGAGCGTAAGCAAATTTCGTTAATTCGCGATCGAGTAATCGTGAATTGCTACTGCGGAAAGTCGTTTGTGCGAAACAAATTGGCAATATCGCAAAATTTCTACACGAAGAACTACTTGCCGGTCTGTTGCAATATTCCTCGTGAATGGAAGGGCTTAA